AGACAGACAGAGACAGAGACAGAAAGAGAATGAGAGAGTTCACACTGCCGCGATATGCTCATCCACCACTTTTCCCAGGCTTTGCTGACTTGATCCTGAATTAATGAGGCTGTTACATGATATCTAATAAAAAAATGACTGGAATAGAGATACTCTTAGGGAACTGCCACATACTTGGTTCAAGGCTGAATCAATTTCATCTCTATTTAACACATGCTTGTTTTCTGTCTCTCTTGTCTCCTTTGCAGCTCACGTCCCACCTTTTTTCTCCCCCATCTGGGAACCTTATCTCCTGACATGCTACCATCAATCAGCCAAAGACACTTCCCGCCAGAGCGTCTGCCAGTATGACTGAGCACAAGGAGTCCCTAGTTCGGGGATGCCTCCCACACACCCTGGAGCTGTGTGTTTTTCTAGCCTGCCTAACCACCTAAGTGCAATTTGGGGCATTTATACTCACCTAGAGTTTCTACTCAGATAATAGCAGTACTTTCACCCAGCTGAGTCTAAGGTACAGCATGGATCACTACGGAATAGTATGGAATATGCATTGCATCTGTCGCTGCTTCACCAACTTTTAAGGTTATTTCTTTGCATTTCACATTTCCACTCCTTTTGATTTGCTCTGGCTCAGTGCCTGCCCCAAAAGAATATAAATCCAACACTTATGATGCCTTTACTGATCGTTGCAACCACTCCCACTTTCTAGTCTTTTATGTCAATATCATTTCTAACACAGTCAGACCTCTAAGTTTACATTTGGAAGCATGAAAGAAGAGAAAAAGAGCAAAGGTGGGATTGCCGAGGGAAGCACAGAACTGGTGACAAGGAAGAAAAGGGTGAACAGGAGCTTGGCTGTGGCATCTCCCACAAAGTTCCATCCATGCACACAGCCCCTGGCCACAGCACAAGAGGCTGTGCGTGGGCACAGGTGGGTCCCAGCCTTTCTGGCTGGATGCGGCTTAAGCACTAAGCCTGAATGGAGACCTTCATTGCTGTTTGCTGTTTTTGTTGGCCAGTAGCCATGGCAAACATTTGCAGGTGGCTTGGCCAGATTTTGACACTTAAATACTTGAGGTTGTGATAAAAATCAGAATATTACTACAATATGGTTCTGTGCAGCCTCACACACAGAGAAAAAAAATATAGAATAAGGGGGGAAAAAGCTATCTGCAATTTCAAATGCTCATTTAAAGACACAGTCTCCAGAGAAAACTTATGTTTTAAAATAAGTACTCATTTCCTCTTTTCTGAAAGAAATAAAAGAGTCAACTATCCCCAAATGTTACCGCCTAGAGTTTTATACCAAGTGCACTGGTGAGATGGGCTGGGCTTTTTCTTTCTGAGACCCCATGATCATCCGGGCACAGTTCTGGATGGGTCACAGGGAGAAAAATGGAAATGACAGATGTATCGGTTTGAATCAACACAGTAAGCACAACAGGGAAGAATTTGAAGAAAAGAAATAGCCTCCCTCTAGCTTGGCAGTGGAACGGGTTCTAAAAGTGACAATTATCTCCTAGAACACACTAGGAGAGACATATAACACCCCAAGTAGGGAAATAAATAGGATGAGTAAGTGTGTTAGGGGGTCATATGCAAGAGAAATACCCCTATTCATCCAAGCAGAGTGACATGGCCTGCAGATGTCACCCAAATGTACAGTCCTGGGCCAGCCGGGTAAATTGTTGACAGAGTCAACACCCACCTTAAAATTTAGTGCTAACCCTTAAAAGACTGTTCCATAAAAACCAGTGTTGTGGGAACAATGGGCGAACACTAAGGGCCTCCAACAGGGTAGACGGTGAGGGTGGAGAGGGCAGGCAGGAGAACTCCAGTGGGGAAGGAATGTTGTAAAACTGCTAGTAAACTCCAGCACATTTTATGCTTTTTCTCCTTGAAAGAAAAATAAAATATTTATAATTAGCCTGCCTCGCTGTGAATTGTCTGCCCAAAGCCAGGCCCCAATAGTGAAGGAGTCCCTTGAAAAGTGGACGCTGTCTTTAATGAATCCATCCTGCCCTCTTAGCATGCATGGGTTCTCTCTCTAGATAATGGCAACATTTGTTTTTACAGTCATAAGAAAAGAATTTTTTTTTTTTTTTTTACCAAAGATTCTTGCTTATTTAGCTTTGGCTTCTTAAAACAAAGCCAAACATTTAAAGGCCAGATTGACTTTCAGTTTCTTCAATGAGAAATCAAAGGTCGCTACGGAAATCTCAGAGAATCATCACTACCACATATCTTGGTGTCACAGCCCATCTTGATGAGCTGAGAAATGTGAGACACAAGGCACTCATTCTAGAACATTCTGAGGAATAAGCCAGTGTTCACTGTCAGTTTGGGATTCCTCCCAACATGAACAAGGTGGATGGGCACACTAACAAACTGTGGAGCAGCTTTTAAATTTCTTTTTAAATCACCACGACCAAGGATCAGCTGGAAATTCAAACTGAATCCTAGTGCTTATACCAAGCACGGTGCTTCTTATTTGAAGAGATGATTCTGGGAACACAGAGTAAGCAGTTGTCAGCATCTAACTGGACACATTTCTCATAGTTTTTTGGATGAAGTTATTACTTTTTCTTCCTAAGAACCCATGTACTTTTTAAACCCCTTATTTCATCTTTACTACTGTGAGTTTAGAAAACAAAAACTCCATCTTCATTCTGGAGATAAGGAAGTGGAGTCAGAGAATTTCTAAAAAGCTGCTGGGAGCTGCCCACGTTGGTGATGCTCTCAACACTCTGCCCAGTAGAATCCCGTGATGCCAAGACCCGGGAGCAATTCCCATCATACCATACGAAATACATGGCTAGGACTCAATGATGGGAGGAAGGGAGCCTGCTTCCTAGGTCTTGGCTGCTCTAGGAATGAGCATGGACCTAGACAGAGAGAAGGGAGAGCTAACCATTTTTGTACAAAGAAGGGCCAGAGGCAAGAGACTATGGAAAGATAAAGGAAATGCAGGCAGTAGCTGAGCAGCTCCTAGAAAGGCAGGGCACACCCAAGGAGCAGGAAGGCTGCAGAGCGTCCTACCATGGTGGAGCATTTGTCTTGAATGCTCTGTGCTGGCCTCCATACAGGCACACATTTGCCTACAATCATTTTAAAGTTCACAAATGCTCTCTGAAGACATAAGGACACAGAATGACTCGCTCTCTTCCACTTGCAGCATCAAAACAGCTTCTAACAAACAGAGACTCCTCCCTTCTCTCATCAAAAGCATCACTCTGAGCTCTCGGCAATATCACAACAGCAAGGAAAACCAACAAATCTGAGTACCAGAAACAAAGAGAAAGTCCAGATTGTTCTCTGAGCACCAGCCAGGTCCGAGAGGCAGCCAAGGGGAATCTCCTTACCCGATCTGACGGTTGGTGGAAGGTGCCTGTGTGATGACGGAGCTGGACTGGGGCGATGGCATGGCTTGCTGAATCACAACGCTGGTATCGTGGTTGGGCATCCGGGTGCTGCCAAGCTGGTGAGCTCCAGGCCCCGTCATGGCCCCACCGACTGTATTATGCATTGAGATATTCTGCCCAAGGAAGACAGAGCAGAAAGGTCAAGGGGAGGCAATGTTTCATGCTACTTCCAAGCTCTCAAAGGCCAAGCCTGGGAATCTGGTCGTGTCAACTAAATAGAAAGTTATGGCTTCTGGCAAGCCTTGGGCCCATTCATCACATTATAACTTACAGCTACAAGGAGATGAAAAATAGCTACTTACTCTCAGAGTAGAACACAAAGGGAAATGCCTTGAAGTCTGCTTATCACTCTGCCGCCATCCTGAAGTAAGGTTTACATCAGGGATATTTAGTGCATACTTTCCTGACTCCATGTGATATATGTTGCACTGGAAAGTGATTTCTGAGGTGAGTGCATAATACGTGATTTAGCGAAGTTAGCTCTGTGCCCTGCTTCAAGTGACAGCCACACTGGGTTGCACTCATTTTGCTTTGTTTTCAGTCCTAGAAGAGTGGCCAACTGTATGAGTTTTCTACAGGAAACTACTACTTTTCCAAATTGCAGTCTGGGTACTTAACAACCCATGAAATGGGGATGATTTCAACAGATGAAAGGGCCTCTGAAATCTGATGACAAGAGAAAAGGGTGCAGTGCTCTCTTGTATTTTGATACAGTCTCCGACAATTGCGTGAAAAGAAGACATACAGAACCACGACGCTTGTCTGCTTCCACGTTTTCTATCTTTTCCTTTAGAATATGGAATGCCTATGCTCAATCTCTATCCCATGGTACTTAGAGCAGAGTAGACATTCAACAGACACGTACTGAGTGAATAACCTAATTGAGGAACCAGTGAAACATCTGAGTTATTTCAAGGAACTTGAATAGGGACCCCCTTTGTTTAAAATTTTTTAAATGAGCTAAAATATACAAAGTACCCCTGTGTCATCCCTCAAATGGCTGAAACAAAAGGAGCGAGAGTTTGGAGCCAGCCCAGGTTACACAGTGAGTTCAAGGTTAGCCTGGATAACAATAACAAGATGTTGGTTGTTTTGTTTTGTTTTGTTTTGTTTTAAACTGGTTTAAAAAATAGTTTTTGTTAGAGAAGAAAGTCACTAGGACAAGAGAGGATGCACATTATGGAGAAGAAGGACAGATGGATGCCCGGGGACTGAAATGGCATAAAGATATTCAAAAGCCAGTAAAGAAAGAGCAAGAGCATGATCAACTGGAATCACAGGTAAGGGCAACACAAGAGTCGCTGTGGCAGCCAGCTGTGGCCCTTTATCCCGGAAGGGCTGGGACACTCCAGAGGTCATTCAGACAATGGATTGAGGATGGGAGGAAAGCAACATATGTCACTAGCAATTTGCCCAAGGAAAAAAATGGGTATCTGTCTGAACTCTGGTGTTTCTATGGATGAAATGATGGTGATAACACGTAAGGTATGGAGGCAGTAACCATCGCGTGGCACTTCTCCCAGGTTTCTGATTCTAAGCCCTGACCACACAGTTTGTCAGCTGTCCAAGTGAGAACTGGGCACCCAGCTTAGACTGTGAGCTGACCGTGTTGTCAGGGGAGCCTCCCGGCCTATATGTGCACATAGTCCAAAGGCTTCTTCTTCTCTACTGAGAAGTCTTCCTGATGTGGGAAAACACTCTGGTCAGGAGAGGTAATATGAGAGGAAACGATGAGTGGCATTAGGGTGGCAGCACAGAAAGTGGTCTGTTTTAGTTCTTTTTATAGAATTTAGAGACTCAGTAAAAACGATTCTTAAAGAAGTAGTTGTGCTATTTCTTTGGAAAGTGAGCCTTAACAAACTTATATCCCCAGGTCTTAGTGAAGTTTTGATGAGGTAAATAATTTCAGATGTTATTTTTCCCACTGTTTTGATTCTCAAAAGCAATCAACATTATTCATGCCTTTAGTCACATTGTTCTGAGGCCTGGAAGGATTTCTAACTCTCAGTAGAACTATTTCCATGGTGCTGTGTACTGTGCACCATCTTCTATCTTTAAATACACAAAGAATGTAAGTGTATAAAATGAATATAATATGTATGAGTTATCTGCAACAGCCCTTCTCTTCAAATCCCATTAGCATTCCCCAATTTTACTTTAGAAATTCATCATTTCTTTCTATTATTTTTTTTTAATTTTTATTTTTTATGTATTTTGTATAGGGTTTACAGGGTCTCACTACACAGATCAAACTCGTAGTGATCCTAGTGTTTTCAGCTTCCCAAGCACTGGGATTACATGCGCGTGCCACCACACCCAGGCTCAGTCACTGGCTCAGCTTGCCCCGGGGATGGGGCCAACATAGCACACCAGGGATCAAATCCTGGTCCTTGCACCTGCCTAAGCAGGCACTTTAGTCCAGTGGCTGGACTATCTGGCTGGTCCATTTCTTTCTATTCTTCCATCCCTCCTTCTACCAGTCTACATCCAACACCATCATCTCCTTGGACCAGACAATGGGCTCTGAAGTGGCCTCCTTCATTCCTTCCAAGCTCTTTTCCTCCTCATCCTCATCCTCCCCATAACTGCTGAGCTCTTTGAAACACAAGACTTGTCACATGGCCCGCAGCTTCCACAGCCTGCCTCCCTCCTGGAAACACTGGATGGGTTTGCATGGTCTGGAAAGTACCAAAAGCACTCTGTGTACCCTCCGAGGCCTGTCCTCCCTCTAGGTCCATCTCACCCCACCTTCACTCTAGCTCTCTGTGACTCTTCTCATCCTCCTGGACTTCTGCTGTCAGTGTGACCTTGTTCCATTGCTGCACCAAGGCTTGTATATGCTGTCTGCTGACACCAGTGCTTTTGCTCAGACTCCACCTTCAGCTCTCAGGCTGAGCATCACATAAAGGAAGCCTCCACTCACCTTCCCAGTGCTGGACACCATTGCCTTTTCCGTTATGGGGCTTTCCATAGTTGATAATTGTCTTTGCTTATCTGTTAAGTAGCAATTTCCTCCCTCATTTGTAAGCACAACCAGAAAAGGAACTAAATCTAATTTTATTCTCCATTGTGTCTCCACTGTGAAGGCCAGTGCTGGCAAAAATAAGTACTTGACAAATACAGGGTATATGAATGAACATAAGAAAGTATTCTTGGAAATCCTAGGATGATAAAAGCTTATCTCTGGTGAATTTTGGAGGGTGTGCTATTGTCCTGTCTGTTCACCTTGCTATCTAAAACTATGCTCATTATGATAGTTTTAGGTAGTATGGCACTTGTTCCACTTTGGGCTGGAGAAACACACAGGGTCAGTATTTAAAAAGCCACACAGTGTGTAGACTGGTGAGCGAAAGCCTTCAAAAAATGCTAAATGAGCCCTTGAACGAAAACACTGAAAATGAAGTTCCAATCTTCAACCACTTTAGTGTGACTGATCAACAAACAATTTTTACATCCACCACAAAAACTGAGGAAAGCTAGCCTTGTGCTACAGCACAAAGAAACAGACCTGATTTCTTCAAAGAAAAGTATGTTCAATAAAAGAGGAACAGCTACCTCTCAAAAGAAAAGCTAAAGAATGTTTGTTTTCTCATAATGATTGGAAAGGATAAAAATTACCATCTGGGAATATATTTTATATTCTCTCCCACCAACAATTATTATACATTTAGAATGCATATTAATGCAGATTAATTGTGTATACTAACAGGGTTTGGTGTGATACTTGCATACACACATATGCATACATCAGTCAAGTCAAATGTCCCCACCAATATTCTAGGTAATCTCTTTGTCTCTGAGATCTAGGGACAAGAGATAGAAAAGGCTCCCAAATGTCATATTCTCACCTTTCAATAACCTCTTCTCTTCCTCCCACAAAACATGAGCACATTCTTCCATCCTCTCTCCCAGACTCAGAGAGTCATTTCAAAACATTTTGGAAAAATAAACAATCCAGCAAAATCATTATCATCTCACATTTAGAGAAGGTGATTTTTTTCTTCTTTAAGCATTACATAGTAACTCAAACATGAAATTATTTTCTTAGGTCACATTGTCCCAATTATAGATTCAAAATCTGTTTTAACTGATAAAAGGATAGTGCTCCAGAAAAATTAAATATCCAATTTGCAAGACCCAGAGTGTGAGTGGATCTTGATAAGTTGTTTTTGATAGAGCACGTGAGTAGGTTTGAAACTAGCGATGCCATGTCACCACTGGCGACCCTGGCTGACTGTCAGCAGAAAGGCAAGGATCAGAGGTGATCCTTGAAGTTCAACCTTTGGCCTTTTCTTGTTCAATATTTTTATCAACAGCTGGGAAGAAGAGGTAAAAATCATGCTTGTCAAATCTGCAGTTGACACGAAGTTGGGAGGTGGGCCAATGTTCCCGATAGCAGAACCAGGTTTTCCTCAGATCAGTTATGTGATCTGTCCTCCGAGGATGCTAGCATAAATCTAGGCTGCTTTAGGAGCAGTGAAATGACCAGATCAAGGGAAGTAATTACCCTGCTGCAGAATAACTTAGATTGACCACATTTGGCCACCACATTTTAAAGGGGAAATTGACAAATAGGAGGGAATGAAAGCAGTGAATGAATCCAAAATGCATTGCAGGAAGAATGGTAGAAAATCAGGAAATATTTAGTCTAAAGCAGAGAAGACTTAGAGGGTCATGTTAACTGCCTTCAAATATTTGTGGGATTAGACAAAGTCTGCAATGCTCTATAATTCAAAACATTGGATTGTAATGATAAAAGTCAATACTAACTACAATCTGAGTATCTATTTTGAAGCAAGCACCATGGTAGATGGTTTATAAATTGCATCTCTGATGTTCACAATGGCCCTTTAAGGTAAGTATTATTGTCTCATCTTTTAAGATGAGAGGGGGCCTGGCCCTAGCTCAGTTCTTTAAGTGGCTGCTTCCACAAAGCTGTCAGCCTCAGGTTGCTGTAGTTCGATCCCCACAACTCCAGCCAGTCAAACCTGCCCTGAAGGCATTCAGAGCAAAAAAAAAAAAATCCTTTTAAGATGAAAAAAGAGGCAAACTCTTCCCTGTCACCGGTACTAGGCCACTCACTTCCGGTCACCCTTCCCATTTGCAGGACGGC